GGGCTTAAAATCACCTACTATCAGTGTGTGACGGTCAATACGTGATTAGAACTGTGTCAGTGTTTCTTTTATGAGTTTAGGACCCCTTGTGTTTGATGCATAGATGCTTATAATTACAATATCCTCTTGGTGTATTTTCCTTTGATGAGTGTATAGTAACCTTCCCTATCTCTTCTGAATAGTTCTGGTTTAAAGTCTATTTTGTCAGATATCAAAATGGCTACCCCAGCTTGCTTCTTAGGTTCCTTTGTTTGAAATGTCTTTTCTCCATCATTTTACCTTGAGGGGATGTCTATCCTTTGGGGTTGAGGTATATTTCTTGGATGCAACAGAGGGACGGATCCTGTTCTCACATCATTCTGTTAGGCTTTATCTTTTATATTGGGGAGTTGACCATTGTTATTGAGAGATATCAGTAAGCAGTATATGTTGAATTCTGTTATTTTGTTATTGTGTTGTATGTTTTTCCTCTTTTCATTTGCTGATCTGGGATTATATTCCTTATGTTTTCTTGGGTGTGATTAACCTCGTTAGTTTGATGGTTTCCTTTTAGCACCTTCTTTAGGGCTGGGTTTTCAGATAAATACTGCTTAAATTTGGTTTTATCTTGGAATATCTTTCTTTCCCTATATTTTGTGATTAAAAATTTAGTTGGCTATAGTAGTCTGGGTTAGTATCTGTAGTCTCTTAGATTCTGTAGAACATCTGTACAGGCTCTTCTGGCTATTAGAGTCTACATTGAGAAGTTGGGTATAATTCTATTAGTTCTGCCTTTATATGTTATTTTGTCTTTTCCCCTTACAGCTTATAATATTTTTTCTTTGTTCTGTTTGTTTAGTGTTTTATTATGTGCCAAAGGGACTTTCTTTTCTGGTTCAGTCTATTTGGTGTTTTACATGCTTCTTGTACCTTGATAAACATCTCTTTAGGTTAGGAAAATTTTCTTCTATGATTTTGTTGAAAATATTTTCTGTGTCTTGTGTTTCTTCTCTTGTCTCTTTTTATATTATTTTTAGATTTTTTCATAGTGTCCAAGATTTCCTTGGATCCCTTGTGCCAGGATTATTATTTAGATTTAACATTTTCTTTGAGCAAGGTAGTCATTTCTTCTCTCATGTCTTCAATGCTTGAGAGTATCTCTTCCATCTCTTGTATTCTACTGGTGAGATTTGCCTCTGAGGTTCCTGTTTGTCCCTAATCTTTCATTTCCATATTTCCTTTAGTTTGGGTTTTCTTTATTGATTCTCTTTCCAGCTTTGGTTCTTGAAGCATTTTATTCATCTCCTTCTGCCATGTGTGTTTTCAGAGATTTCTTTAAGGAGCACATTCATTCCCTCTGTAAGGACTTCTATCATATTCATAAAGGCTATTTTGAGGTCTCTTTCTTCTGCTTCAGCTATGTTGCCATACTCAGGGAATGCTGCGGTGAGGTTACCGGGCTCTAGTGGAGACAGATCGTCCTGGCTGTTGTTGATTATGTTTTTATGCTGGAGCCTAGGCATCTGCATGTGGGAAGACTGTAATTCTAGGTACTGATATCTGGTCTTGTCTTTGTTGAGTGATATTTTGTTCCTTAGTTTCTGTTGCTCTCTCTGGTTCTTAGGAGAGTGTGGTGACTCTGTGTTGCATGGTAGGAAATTGTTCTGGGATTGATGTGGCCACTGGGGGAGTCCCAGGTAAAATGTGTTTCTAGATTAAGAGCTGATAGGTAAAACTGCAAGGAATGGGCCATTGAGGGGGTCTACAGGAAGGAGGAAAGCAGGGGGTTCCACCACAGTCTGCTTAGTCTCCTGGGAATGAGGTCAGAGAGTGAGGAGAGGCCAAATGCAACAGGCAGTCTGCTACAGATCTGGAAATGAGTCTGTGGGATTAGATTTGGAGGTGTTGAGGGAGAGGTGAAGATCTGCAGTTTTCCTACCTGCTTCACTGGCAGGAGGGGCCTGGGGATTCCAGGTAGCGGGCTGTTGGAGTTGGGACTGGGTTAAAGCAATGAGCAGAGGGAAGGAAATTTGGAGGGAAGATCTGTGTGATGGACTGCAGATGGAAACAGAGAGGAAGGGGAGGGCCCAGCAGGTTGTCTTTTCCAGAGCTAAGGATGAGACTGGGGGTCTGATTGTATTTGGAGGAGCTGAGGGAGAGGTGACCATCTATAGTCAGTCTAGCTGCTTCTCTGGCTGGAGTTTCAAGAGTCATTTATTTAAACACAAACTTTAAAGAGCAGATAAAAATAATGAAATTTAAAAAAATGTTTTCTTTTTCTATCCAATAATGGTCAACTTGAGAGTCTGAAGACTGGTGCATCTGTACCTTAAATGATGTTTTCTGAAAACATTTACGGATAGTTTCGCTATTAGATGTTCCAATCAACTCTCTTCCCATCTTGCAGATGTGAATGGTACCATTAAGAATATAAAAAGCTGGGCTGGAGAGATGGCTCAGCCATTAAAGGTTAGGCTCACAACCGAAAATATAAGAGTATAAAAAGCTGTTATTCGAGAGTCTTTACAGAGACACAAAGTTCACATGTCTTGCCAAGTTCCCACTAAGAAGTATACTGGCCATAAAGGTTTGGCTTCTGCTACTTTTTTGCCTGATCAACTTTATGTTAAGTAGAACGATTTTCAAGACAGGGTGACAATGATGATGTTTACTTCTACTCTACATTGTCATCCCTCTGCATCCATGGGACTGCTGGATCCAGAGCTACCCATGGGTCTTGAAATCTAAGGATGCTTTCTCCTTCATGTAAGATTCTGTATGTCTGCATACATCCCCCGGCATTTTTAAAACTCATCTCTAGATTACTTACTGTGACTGATTCCATGTAGATGCCCGGTAAACATCTACAATACTGTATAGCTTAGGGAATGAGGGCAAGAAAAATGGCTGTATGTGCTCAGCACAGATGCTATTTGTTTTCTGAATCCCCCCCCCCACACACAGTTAGTTGAATCCTCAGATGAAAAATCCACAGACACAGAGGAATTGTTGTCGTATTTCAACTCAACAGACATGTCATTCAAGCCTCTTAAAGGATTGCAAACCAGAGCACAAGAGTTCAGGAAAAATGATTATCTCAATGTTTGTGGAGTTTATGAATTTAATTAGCAGGTACTACATGCTTGGCTGCATATAGTATGTAATGATTTAAACATTATGCATAGACATGAGCGTGATACTCTCTTTGTCCTGTCTCCTTGTGCAATTATTTCAGCCACTCTATTGTTTTGTGAGACAGGCAACTGTCACTATAGGAACAACCTCTCTCAGAAGAGCCCCAGGATGGATAACAAAACACTGTGTTGCCCTTGTATAGCTTTATTGAAATAATACTATATAAATATTGGGGCATATCCTAGTTTACAGTGTGTTGTTAAATACACCATTTCATTTGATGCGTCTCTTTAATGGAGATTATCTGCAATGAACAGACAAGATAGAGACACAAAGTCTATATACCTCCCAAGGTCATACTGAAGTTGTTGCTGACTTGACTGCTATTGATTCTACAATGACTTCCTTGCCTGCTACCTCGGTGGCCTGAGGATATACAAGTTCTTGAACAAAGAGAAACCGGAAGTTCTTTTTTGCAAAATTCCAAAGGAAAGGCAAATGGGAGACGCTAAGAAGTCCCCAGTTCAAGTCAGGAGTAGTCCCAGTTACTGGATCCCAGTGGGAAAGGCCACTCCTGATTCTAGAAGATGTATTTGTCATAAACAATGTTACACCTCACTTGCTTTGTACCAAAAATTCTCCAAGATATAAATGACAGAAATATTGTCACAGAACAACCACTGCTCTGCCCTGCAGGAACTGAAAATAATCTACTGTCAAAGATAGACATCTGTCAGGCATACCTACATAGAATGATAAGTGTGAAAGTGAGAGATGGAAAGAAGGTCAAGAACTGAGCAGAGGTTGGGAAATGACCTCTGAGAGAACACAAGAGAAACAAGAAGACATTCCTCAATAGCCATAAATGGAAAAGGAACACAGGGTATGGCATATGCAAATACCAATAGGCTAGTGTGTGTGTGTGTGTGTGTGTGTGTGTGTGTGTGTGTGTGTATTGATTCCAAGAAACTAGGAGAAGTCCAACTTGGGTGAACTGTAAAATCTAAGTTCCTTACCAGCAATTCAGAGATGGTTTTGTTTGTTTGACGGAGTCTCACGTAGCCCAGGCTGGCCTTGAATTTATTATGTATCTGAAGTTGACCATGAACTTCTGATCCTCTTGTTTCCACCGTCCAAATACTCAGATTACGGGTATGTATTACCATACCTGGTTTATGTAGCGCTAGAGATGGAACCCTCGATTTGTATATACCAGACAAGCACTCTTTAAACTAAGCTAAAACCCCAGTCCAAGAGTGGAAGCAAACCATTGATCTTCTGGTTAGCAATGGACCTCGCTATCCAAACGAGCCACAGACACAGGCAATGTGTATTTTTATTTTAACAGTTTAGGTGTAGAGGCTGGAAATGATAGAGCAGAGGTCTTAAAACAGACCTCAGTTGTATAGAGGCTGAGAAAACAGTTGGATGACAGATGAGGTAGGGACAAAAGAAACATGTGAAAAAAATGGGTGGATGAGATCTTCAGAATGTAAACTTGGAAGACAGGGTTCTTGACTGGAGATGTAGGTGGTTGAGGGAGGGGAGACCCAAGAAATAACTCCAGCAAGATGAGTGTAGCAGGCTCCTGAGCTCAGAAAGCCTGTGGGGAAGAGTGGAAGCACAGGGTTGATCCTCAGCCCCTTAGCTCCTCCTACTCTCCCCCTAATCAGAGTTTTTCTTCTTCAGCATGAAGAATGAATGATACTTTAGACAATTCCATGTTACTTTGTTTTCCTTAGTTTTTCATAGAAAGGGTGACTCAGGGCAGCTCCCATGAGGGACAGTGGTCTCCCATAGGGTGTCATCCCCACCCCTCATACTTGACATTATTTTGACCACTAGATATAGATTACTTAAATGATGTAGATAAAACTATAAATGAACCGACTTCAAGACGCTGCTTTATTCTGAAACAGCAGAGAATTAAAACATAAGCAACACACGGAATATTAAAATATGTAATATACATCTATGCAGTTTGTCGTCAAGGACTCATCAGCCGGCACAGCCAAGGTCAGAAATGAAAAGGGAGAATTTCTTTTGGCACAAACATAATTCAGGTAAGCTGGCAGGGACTTCCGAATCTAAGATCTCTAACTAGTGCTGGAAGCCATTCTGAAGCAGCCCCCTTTTGGTAAGTATAGCCTTTAATTTGCTCAACGAAAGTTCATCCCCTGATGCTCACAGAACCAACCCTAAAACCAGGCCAGAAGTCTTTACAAGTAGAGACACAGTCCTTTTTAAAGACCGTGAGGCACACTAAAACTGTCGCTACTGGAGAGCATGGACCATTGTGTGAAATGTATTTTTTAAATGGCATATTAGAATATGTTGTCCTCTTGGTTGTAATACATGTCTGACTCCACAAGCTCCAAACCTGTACAGGAGTAGTTCCGGTTCATCTGGGCCAGATCAGTTTCGCTCTTCTTCCTCTTTAGTGGCTCTCCTTCCTGCATGTAGGACTTCTCCAAAGCAGGGGCACCTATAGCTGGAAGGCCTTTAGTAAATGGAACCTCCATACTGCTCGGTGGTTCAGCCTCATCTGAAGGGTTAGCTGTGGGCAAAAGCCGGTCACTCCGTAGCCTTTTTCTTATTTCCTCCTTTTTTGTCTGAAAAGTAATATTAAAGAACGAAAAGAACCCTGGTGACTTTGCTTTGTACGTGTTCTGTTCACATTGCTTGTCATGAACACATTCGCTTTTCTTCTTTGCCTACTCAGTCTTGGAACAGACAGTTGCTGGGGAACCCATGTTGAAAGAGACAAACAAAGGGCTTGCCCTCATAGCCATGGCTGCCAAGAAGGGAGGCAGACGTGAAGGACGCCAGACTAAACCTATGCTTGAGGAACGGTAGGCCTCCGATTGTGGGTTCAGGTGCTCAGAACTGCAGAAACTGATCTGATGGTCTTCAGAACCCTCTCTTAGCTCAACTCCCACCCTGCCCTGGTTGTCTTCCTTTCTCCAACCCCAATGGTAAATTTCCCCAAACTTGACTTAATTCAGAATAATGAATAGTATTTATTTAGGCTGTATAGATGAAACAATTTTCAACCCAGTTCATGGTGCTGCTTCATTACCACACAACTAAAATTAATTTTTGAGAGAGGGAAAAAAAAAGCAAAGTATCCAGTGCAAGAAGCACACAGGTATCCATGCATGCATTCTGTCTCAGGCTGTGGATAGGCAAGGTCTGGAGCATGCTCATTCGCACAGGCAGGCGACTCCTCAGAATCAGCACCCACGGCTCATACCTTTCGGCGCTGCTCTGCCGCCTGCATCTTTTCTTCTATGTCTTGGATTGTGAAATCCTTCACCTCCTTTTTCACCTTAAGCTTTTTCAGTCTGGCTGGTGGCTTTCTCAGTGGCTTTTCAGTAGTGTCCACCTGGAGGAAGACATTTAGTTTTTAGTGGAGAAGTGATTTACTGCCTTGGCCCGGGAGAGAAACAGGAGCCAGAAACAGTTTAAAATGCAAATTTCAAAATATAAATTTTCAACTGGCAGATAAATGCAGTAAAAACTTGAAATCTGTTAAGATCAGAATTATTTTATTGTTATTACTATTACTAATACGTGTGTGTGTGTGTGTGTGTGTGTCTGTGTGTGAGTGTGTGTGTGTTCGTGCGCACATGCGTGCACGTAAGGGCATGTCACTGCACGTAGATGGAGGACAACTTTCTGGTGTCACTTTCCCTTTCCACCAGCTTAGGCATCTGCACCTTAACCTGCTAAGACACAGAGACCTCTTGGAGTCCCAACCACAGACGTGTCAATGGTAAAATGTAGTTCATGTCTTCAAAGCACCAGGCTATTAGGACAAAGGCCGAGAATGCGCTTCATGAAGCCAGATGGCAGAGGACCCATGAGAGAGACCTCAAGGCTGAAAACTAAACAAAAAACATGGAGGTGTGGTATGTGAAAGTCTGGCTCAGTGGAAGAAATTCAGATTGTTTGATTGATTAATCTATAATCTTCAATAACAGCAATTGATTTCATAATCTTCCATGTTTTATAAATTATCTTCACTTGGCTAGAGATTAGCTTTTATTGCTCTTTGATCTTAGGATGGAGAGGGATCATTAGCTGTTATTGAGCAACAGTGCTTTGCTAGGCTTTGCTATTGGTATTTGACAACAGTAAAAAAATATCCCATTTTATGTGGATGACTACTCTTTGAGCGGTTCAGAACAGTGATAGTGATTTTCTAGTTACTTATCTAGTTATGAAAAATAAGATTATAATAAAGGGTTGCAAAGTTTTAACTTGCATTGTTCTCTAAAAATACAGCAAACATGGCACGCATTTACAATGGGAAATTAAAACAATATACGAACAACTTCCTAATCCTCTCCTCAGTCACCCCAATCCTGCTTTTCAATAGGAACCCAGTTTTTAAATCTCTCCCTCCCTCCATTCCTCCACTCCTTTGTGTGTGTGTGTGTGTGTGTGTGTGTGTGTGTGTGTGCAGGAATGCACATCCTATGGAACATAGATGAAGGTCTGAGGTTAGCCTCAGATGGCTGGCCTTGCTCTCCACTGTACTTCAGAGAAGAACACTTAGTCACTACTGCTTCTGCAGGATTGCTGGCCCTAGAGAGTCACGGGATCCACCTGTCTCTACTTTCCGTTTAGCTGTCGGAGAGCTGGGATTATATAGACATGAGTGACCGAGTCCAGCTTTATGTGGGCTCCAGGGAGCCAAACTTGGGTCCTCAGGGATTGTTTTCCCTGCTAAGCCATCCCTACGGCCCCTCCTTTTAAAGAGTGTGTTGTGTCTTTCTGGATGGTCTCTGTAATGCATGTCCATATACACTCATTAAAGGTAAGTAGATATCTATACCTATTCTATATACCTATATGTTACAAAGGCTAGAAAGATGGTCCAGTCAGTAATGTCCTTGTGAGGACCAAAGTTTGACCCCACTTCACACAACCCAAATAAAAAAAGCAAGACAGGATGCCATACATTTGTAATACCAGCAATGAGGAGTTGGTAAAAGGCATGTGTGTGTATTTGTATATATATGTATATATATGTATATGTATATATATAATGCAGGCATATATATGGCATCTGCGATGCTAAATAAGATCTAAGTATGATTGTACTGTACACAGTGCCCATGACTGATGTCTTCATTGAATATGGACATCTTTCTAGGTCAGTGTATATAGATTTATTTTGAATGGGGGGACTTCTTAATGAACTCTAAGCCTTCATTCTAAAATGAACCAATATATTGTTCTGGGTAATCTCTATAGAGACTTTTCTTTAAAGACACCAGAGCTATTAATATTTATTATAATTTCCTAAAGACTGACTCATCAGAATAAGGAAAATAGATCAGGCAGACAAAGAGAGGCCATTTCACACAGTAGAGAAAGGCCAATGATGGGACTCAGGCTTGCCTTTGGATCCCCAAAGTGACTTTCCACGAGTGCTTAACACACTCTGTGAGCTTGATATCCTCATCGGTAACACAGACTAACTAACTACCTTTCACAGGATCCCGTTGTTTGGTTTCTATCGCTTTCAAGGGAGGAGAAAGCCTGGAATTTCCACTTAGTAAAGGCAACTACTTTTCAGTGAAACCCAGTGCCTACTTTCAGGAGCAACACGTAACATCACAATCAATGGCAGAATAATCACAGTGATGTATACAGACAGGAAGGGCATCAGGAGCAGATGACAAACGGAACCGGAAGTGCTGAAGCAGTAGGCTCTATTACTAATGGCCACAGTGAGTCTGAGGTGAGCAAGTCTTTCCTTGGGATACTGTTCTCTTATTTATATAATCGTGACAGGCCAGAGGACTGGCTCCATTTCCATTTTAAAGATCTTGGATTCTTAGGAAGTCCTTAAAGTCTTTTTTCATTTTATTATAGGTGTTTTACCTGTACTATGTGCTTGCAGTACCCAAAGAGACTAGAAGAGGGTGCCTGGTCTCTAGGAATTACAAATGTCTAAGAACTGGTGTGCTGAGAATTGAACTCAGGACCTCTGGACGAGCAGCCAGTGCTCTCAACCAACACCCAACCTTCCAGCCCCATCTCAGAAAGTCTTTAAAAAGGAAAACTCTCACTAAACTCGTGGCTCTTTACAACCATGGGATGATTTTATGTAGTATGAGGTTTTTCACTACATGAAAACTGGGATATTCAGTAAAGCAAGTTCCCCCCATCTCCTGGCCCTCACTTTGTTATTTTTATGACATCTGGTTCTTAAGCTTCCTGCTGGCAAATGCTACTTGCTGCAAAGAGGGACATAGTTGCTATAGAGGCTCAAACTAGAGATACTTTGAAATTTACACAAAACCCTTATTATGGATGTTCGCTCAAGCCAATGAGGGAATGGCAAGCCAGACATCTCAAAGCAGTCTGAATCTTGACAGAAACTGTGAGCCAATAAAAGCTCAGAGAGTAGTTTGGGTTTTCTGATTGGGGAAGAAGCTTCCTGTGACCATCCGCAAACAATGCCTGTGGTTTCACCCTCTGCTTCCCTTTGAGACGTGGGCTCTACTTCTGAGGCTCTTGTTCGTTCTTCAGTTTGATATGTGATGCTAAAACCACCACCGCAGCAATCTGGCTTTAGGGGTCGCTCACTTTGTAGCAGAGTGCTTGCCTAGCGTGAAGGAAGATCTTGGTTTAATCTCCAGTCCTGTATAAATCAGGCATGGTGGTGCATGGCTGTGAACCCAGCTCTCAGAAGGTGGGAGCAGTGAGGTCATCCTTGGCTAAACAGTGAGTTCAAGGCCAGCCTGGGTGACAGGAAACCTTGCTTCAAAACAGACAAAGAAAACAGAATAAAAAGACCCTTGTGAACGGATTTGTATTCTTTACACATGAAGTTCGGGTAGGCAGAATCGTTGAAACCACGGCACTTACAGGTGATAATGATGTTTATATTATGCACAGAGATGTCTAGACTTGAAATCTCAAATACCTTGAAGTCAAGAGAAGCTATCAGTTAATGTGTTCATCGGGAATAGTGTCAGAAGACTGACCACGCTGAGCACAGCATTAGGAGCTAAGAGATGAATCACAGTTTTTGGCCATGCTATGTGTACGGGTCTGTCTTATACCTGATGCATGTTCCTTAGGGCTTTCCTAATTAGCTGTTGACCTACAAATAAACCCACCTTGGTTATGCTTCATAAGGGAGTCTCCTGCACAGAAGAGGCCAAAAGCTCCCTGCACCAGACATGGTCATTCCTGTTCTTTGGCCTCCAAGCCCTCAGTGAGGGAGGGAAGGGCACTGTGAATGCTGGCGTATTACTTGAGTCCTAACTCACACCTCTCCACGAGGCTCAGCACATAATATTAGACACTCTGCTGTAATGTGAGTTCCTTAACTACAACGAAGGTGACCCAGTCCAGAAACAGAGATATGACAATAAACTTTGACCAGACGGGAGGAATTAGTAAATAATTCACCGAGTTTGTGAAAAGCAGCCAGGGTATGCTAAAAGATGCAGGGGCGTGAGCTTGAGATCAGAGCCACCTGAAGGCAATAACACCCGTGAATGCATGAAAGCCAGACAGGCATGGATGCAAAGGTTGATCTCTACCACACACATTGACCCAGTCACATACAACCTAGGCACACTTACAGTGCGGTCACTTCAAGTCTCATTGTAATGCTTTAAAGTACCTGGGAGATTCCTTTTCTGAGCTGAGATTCAGCTTCTTACAGGCTCCCTCTTCATATGTGGATGTGGATGTGTTTGTGTGTGTGCACATGTTCGTGTGCAGGCATGTATGCATATGTGTGTATGCATATTCACATGAGGAGGTCAGAGGTGGATGCTGAGTGTCTCCCTCTATTGCTTTCCATGTTATTTATTGAGACAGGGTATGTTAGTTAGGGTTATTATTGCTGTGATGAAACACCACAACGAAAGGCTACTGGGGAGGAAAGGGTTTATTTTCATTACAGTTCCGCAGAACTGTTCATCACTGAAGGAAGTCAGGACAGGCACTCAAGCAGGGCAGTGACCTGGAGAGTCCCGATGCAGAGGACAAGGAGAAGGGCTATTTTTTTGGCTTTTTCTTCATGTCTTGTTCAGCTTCCTTTCTTATAGAACCCAGGACCACCACCCCAGGGTGACACCATGCACAATGAATTTGGCCCGCCTCCATCAATTGCTAATTGAGAAAATGAATTGCTGACAGCCTCGCATTACGGAGGCATTTTCTTATTACAGTTTCCTCCCTTCAGATGACTTTATCTTGTGTCAAGTTGGCGTAAAAACTAGCTGGCACACAGGCTCTCTCACTGAACCTGGAGCTCACCAATTCTTCAAGACTAGATCCTCAATGCAAATGAGTGTGGCCTTCTCAGGGGACTTCAGTTCAAAGTACAAACATGCTTGAAAACTGTTTATCCAGAGAGGACCTCATAAATGGTAAAATAGGGGGGAATAGGTAAAAGGGGTGCTGTGGTGGGCACAGGTGTTCCATGGACAAGTGGGGAGAGACTGGCTTCCTAAGATGCTCCCAGATTAGTGTAACGAAGGCACCTCACTTTCAGCATCTTTTATTCTTTTACACATCAAGGGAAAATGCGGTGAAGGATGAGAAGAGGGCCAGGGGAGGTCAGACCTGTGTCTGGAATTCCCCTGTGTTTGTGAATGTCAGTGCCCCATACCATAAATCTTATTTTTCAAGCATTCTCACACTTATCCTAGCTGCCTGCAACATGTATTCATTTTCTCCCTGCTAGGCATGGTGGCACACACCTGTAATCCTAGCACTTGGTCAGCTGACCCAGGAGGATGACAAGTTTGAGACAGGTTAGGCTATACAGCAAGATTCTGCCTCAGAAAACAAAAACCAACAAAGCTGAAATCCCCACAGAGCAGGGGAAGAAGCACTATTTGTTTGTTTGTTTGACTGGATTCATTGCCTCGTGGTAACCGCTGGCATTTTTGTCCATTTTAAAATTATTTCCTCTGTATTTCCCTTGGTTCCTTGGTTCGATTTTTAGTCAATTATGAGGCTTTCTAGGAATACCATCTACTCCAAAGTATGAGCAGTGTAACTTCTCAGACTTGATATGACTCTGTCCATCATTCTATTTTTAACTGTGATCTTTTTATTTTAGTTCTGAACTTCCTGCCAACTATCTAAGGTTTGTGCTGTGCTACATACTCAAGCTTCTTATATAAGATGAATGAGGCTTCATCTCTGGACACAGCCCTTACATCTCCTCCTCCTCACTTCTGAGATTTTCTGGGGGTTGACCTCAGTGTCTTTTCTTTCCTGAAAATGTATATTCAGGAATCTTTTAGAATTCTCTTTCACAACAAAGGGTTATGATCTACAACTACAAATGTTCCAGCCATTCCCCCCTGTTGATGACCTCAGCTTCACGTGCAGGCTTATGGTGGTGGTTCTTCAGGCTGGGCTGCCCGAGGAGTCTTCTAAAGGATTCTGAAAGCATGAAAGCCATGTCCTATGCTCAGGCACTAGTCCAAGGTGGGATCTGGGTCCCGGGAGTTTAAAATCTTTCTGAGTGACTTACTCTGACGTCAGGTTAAAAACCAGGACATTGGGTTATAAAGCAGACAGGGTTGTGTGTTGCTGCTCTGGCCTGGAACTTGCGGGTTTAATAACATAGAGGAAAAGATTGTAGTATACTTGTGATCTGTGACATAAAGTACTTTTGAGAGCATCCTATTAATGCTTTTCTATTCTATTCTATTCTATTCTATTCTATTCTATTCTATTCTATTCTATTCTATTCTATTCTATTCTATTCTATTCTATCCTGCCTTATATTACAACAGAATTTACTTTTAGTTCACTTAATGATATCAAAAGTCAACCCCATCATTGTCATAAATAGATGGATTTCTTCTTTTCTTTTTGTCTTTTCTTTTTCTTCCTTCCTTCCTTTCTTTCTTTCTTTCTTTCTTTCTTTCTTTCTTTCTTTCTTTCTTTCTTTCTTTTTTTTTTTTGGTTTTTCGAGACAGGGTTTCTCTATGTAGCCCTGGCTGTCCTGGAACTCACTCTGTAGACCAGGCTGGCCTTGAACTCAGAAATTTGCCTTCCTCTGCCTCCCAAGTGCTGGGATTAAAGGCGTGCACCACCACTGCCCAGCTGATGGATTTCTTCCTAATCATCCTGTGCACTCCCCTGTTAGATAGAAGTCAGAACTCATTTACCTTTGGTGACTAGCTCACTAATGTAAATTGTAATTTTATTCCCACAGGTGTTAGCATCAAGGAGTTACTGCATTTCCCTTAAGGAGGCATCACTTAGCAACAGAGTGTTTCCATATGTCTTCCTCCACTGGAATTGCTCTCCCATCTTTTGACATGGTTTCTTCCTTGTTCCCCAGAGACTCACCCATAGTTGGAAAAATAGCCTCTCCCCATCATTACAGAGCTGTTTTTTCTAGTAGATTCAAATACAATCAGATATTTATCATCCTCCAAACTGCACTGAATTGTGGCAATATTGTAGATATGTCAAATGACATTCTACTTTTTCCTTGCTGTGATAAAACACTGTGATGAAAGAAACTTCAGGAAGGAAGTTTGTTTTGGCTCATGGTTCTGGGTACAAACTATCATGCCACTAAGTCTCTGATAGGACTCTGGCCAGCTCAAGCGTGGCGAGCATGGCTCTGGCAGACCTAGCCCTTCTCTCCCATTCTCTTTGACTAGCTAAAAACAATTAGATTACATTCCTAAAGCTAGCCACCAAGGTCTATTCCCTTATTTGGCTACTTCCTCCTTCTGAAGTAAGGTCCAGCTATCAAAGTATTGAAGTCCAGTAATCAAAAGCCCCCCATTGGTTCATTTAATCAACATGCCCAATCAGAACATACCACCACATCCTAGCCCATTCTAAGACATCTTTCTTAGGCTATTGGAGATGGGAAGAACTGTGGGTAGTGCCATTCCCCAGGCTTGGAAGAACTTAGGGTGACACCATTCCCTGGGCTGGAATCCTAAACTGTAAGAAAAAGAGGAGGTTGGCGGAATGTGATCGTTTAGCATGCTTTGCTTTTTGATTGTGAATGCAATGTAACCAGCTACCTCACATTCCTGCAGCTGAAGGGGGCCTCTCCCCCACAGCAGGGGTGTCCTTCCCAACCTGGGATTAGGCATAAACCACTCAAATACCTATTTTCTCAGAGAGATCCTTCCTTAAGTGGGGAAGAAAAGTTAAAGTGGCTACTTTCTGACTCAAGCAGAAAAACAGCAGCCAATGACCTCACAGGTATAATTTTTAAGAGAAAAAAGGGACATCTGTGTTAGGTTGCAGCATTAGGAAGGTTGAGAACCACTGTTCTAACCTCTCTTTTGGCTGAGTCAAGTGATAGTTGGGAGTCTTGGCTTAAAGACAAAAGAACAAACAAACAAAATATTTACTTCTCATCAGAGTTTTATATAGAACTCACTAAAATCCTTAGGGCTGCAGGCATGACTCAGCCTATGTGACCACGAAGAAACAAGAAGGTTACAGAAATTGTCCTGCTGTTACTTTTCTTTGTTGATTCATCTTGTTTTATTTATTATTCTTTGATCTTTTTGATCCTCCAAATTCCTATTAAAAAAAAAAAGCATGTGTGTGCTGTGTCCCTGGACACAGTGGGACACACTTGTAATCCCAGTGATGAGATGAGAAAACAGGTAGAGCCCTGGAAACAGGTGGGCCAGCCTATATGGCAAAGTTCCAGGCTTAAGAGAGACCTTATCTGAAATAATAGGTGGGAACCATCCAAAGACTGGCATCTGAGGTTCTTCTCTCATCTCCACATGTATGCCATGTGCACGCATGCACACACATAGACACATTACATTTCCCACATGAATGAATACACACACACACACACACACACACACACACACACATACACACTCAAATAAAAATTTAGAGCTGGAGACGTTCATCAAATCAGTTCAAATCAGTGGAAAAATATGTTTCAAATTAAAGTCAAACAAAGACAAAAGGAGATGAAAGAAGAAGAAAAGTAACAAAGTAACAGGGTGACAATTTCTGGAATCTTCTTGTGTTCTCATGATCACACCTGTTCCCATGTAGCACGTCTGCTGGAGCTTTGGTGTTTTGTTTTGTTGTTTTCCCTTTTGGATAACCTGCAGTTTAGTTTTATAATCTACAAGGCGACGCTTAATAAAAATTGCTGGTAGTATGAAAGCTCGTTATTTACTGGGACTTATTATGTTCAAATTTAGTAAAGCCTGAAGAATGTTTTATTGGCCTCATTAATCATTAATGATCAGGGTGATTCTGAATCCACTGAGAATCACAGTATGCAGAAAATTTATGGAGGACAAATCTGGCTTAGATAAATGCTGTCATTTATTTGTAGGTCCTAAAGACTGGAAATAATGAGTTGTGATTAATCATATTTTGTTGCTAATTTTAAGTATAAGCAAACGTCAGGTACAAAAGCACTTGCCATGACATCATACGACTCTCCATTTCTAAATACTTTGCTCCGGCTCTGTATGATTCCTTGGACAATTAGCTCTTCCAGGATGTCTGATGACTTTGGTCGCTCCCAATTCTCCAGAAGTTGAGATTTATTGGTCAATCCATTGGCCACTGGGTCTTCCAAAAGGAAAAGCATAAAGAAAGAGAAATGTAAGAATAAAGAGTTTATCACTTAAATGTTAACTGGGGGCTGGAGAGAGAGCTCTGTGGGTAAGAGAACTTGTTGCAAAATCGTGAGGACCAGAGTTCAAATCCTCAGCACCCATGTAAAATGTCTGGCATAGTCATTGTATCTACAACTCCAGCATTTTTCAGGAAAACAGGGGACTGGGACAAGAGGATCCCTGGGGCTTGCTGGCCACACACACATACACACACACACACACACACACACACACACACACACACACACACAAAGTAAAGAATTTAAAAATGCTAAGTGCATGCCTTATACAAGTTGCTGAGTAAAATCTTATCTCAGCAGTTTTCTCTAAATATCTTGGTTTTTAAAAAACATTTTTACCATTTATCTATATCTATCTGTCTGTCTGTCTATCTATCTATCTATCTATCTATCTATCTATCTATCTATCTATCAATCATATCTATCTATCTATCTATCTATCTATCTATCTATCTATCTATCTATCTATCTATCTGTCTATCTATTATATGTGTGTGTGAGTGCATGTGTGTATGTGAGCGTGTGAATGTGTGTGTGTGTTTGTGTGTGTGTAGGGAGTTGGTCTTCTCCTTCCACCATGGGTATTCCAAGGATTGAAGTCAGTTTGGCAGTACCCATCTCCAGCCCTAGTATCTGGTTTCCATTATAAAGCTCTGTGAATTTTTTGAAGTTCGAGTTTCTGCTGTCTTTATAGAGGAAATGAATCAGCATAATCTATTCTTTATGGAACAAGTCTCATGTGAGCACAATCAAGTCTTGTCTCTGGGCTGCTATGTGCAGCCTTTTTGTTGTAACAACGTTCATATACTCCGGTTGGTCGGATGTCATTGATTTACTCCACTAATTACAAGGCTCAACTTCAGCTACAGCTTGAGACATTCTTCTGGTGACTCTTACGAGCTGCCGCTTGGTTTCTATGCTTTGTATACAAAAGGTAAACAGCATGAGGTTGCCAAGGGCTGTCTGGTTCTGCAACCCTGCTATACAGTTTCACCATCTGCTAGTTCTACAGAGAGAAAGCATGCCTTTTTTGAAAGAGTTCTTGAATCAGACCAGAATTAGAGAGAGAGCACTATCGGCTCAGATCTTAGAAATGATTTTCAAGATGAGCCCTGGATGGGGCCAGTCACAGGAAAGAATTTATGAACAGCCCTCTTGAGAGAGGCCTCCTCACCGTAAATCATCCATGTGAAGAAACAACCACCTCCACACCACCACACCATAAAATAAAAGATGCCTGCTTGTTGTCCCAAAGATGGCCCTGCTTTTCACGTCAAAAATGACACTGTGCAGAACCATCTGCAGTAAGTGCTCTTCAAAAAGCCCACTGTCAGTGGGCAGAGGTATTCGCAGCTGTTCCTGACCTCTGTGGTTACAAAGACAACTTTCATGAGTTTCTGTGGTTTGAAAACATATGCACAGACGGCTACACATGCTGACTAGCTGTTTCTCATTTCAGAGCATTAATCCACCTGTCACGGGAGAGGACTCCAACTGACCGTCACATGGCACCAGTAAAGGGCCAGTCAGCTCAGTATTTTCCAGTGCTGGCTCTTTAGCTTTGTAGGTGTGTGAAATAGAGCCCATTCTTACTGAAAAGTGTTCTGCATGGTCTTATAGAAAGTATTCAAATGTGTTAGCAGAACTTGGTAACATAGAGGACAATTCAATGTGCAGGTCGTAAGTAAATACCTCCGTAGGTTCAGAATGACTTTATTGTTATCAATATTGTTAAAAGGTGGGCTTGCCTAAAGCAGAGCACACGCCTATAATCCTAGAACTTGGGAGGTTGAGACAGGAAAATCAGGTGTTTCGTGTCATCCCTATTTGAGACCCCCATATCAAAACCAAAACCAAGCAAATAAAAAAGGTGAACCTACCAAGAAGGGTTATCAGAGTAATGACCACTGTTTACTGAGTGTTTGATCACCTTAAAATGCTAATTTCTTTATAGTCTGTATAGCACCCAGTTCAACTACCAATCTGTGAGAGAAGAGCTCTAATCCCTATTTTATCAATAACTACGCTGCTGTGATAGAAGTTAATTGCTCAAGGCAATGAGGCTAGAGTGGTAACTAGGACTGAATTCAATTTCAACACCAAGTTCTCAACCTCACTAGTCTCTTTCCTAGTTGATACAAGATTAGTTGAGCCACAGGTATCCCATCTCTCCCAGATGTTTCCAACAGGTACCGTTAATGTAAGGAAATGAATGTAACCATTGCAACCCAATGTCTTGTGAGTCTACTAAAGTATTTGCCTTAATGAGTAGAGTAGCGACCCTAGACAGAGATTCTTAGGAAATTCCAGTCATTTCAACTCATTCTTCTGTTTTGTTTTTGTTTTTCTGGAACATTGGAATGTATTAGGTAGGGTGGGGTTAACAATAACCCCATGTTTCTGTTTTATTATGAAGTATGTTCATGACTTCTCTCACTGTTATGACCACATAGCTGACAAAAAGCTTATGGGAAGAAGGAAGGTTTTATTTTGGCTTACAGTTGGGAGAAGTAGAGTCTTCAGGGAGATGAAGGCATGACACTGGGAGCAGCTTGGTTGGACACTGACCAAGAAGCAGACTGTGCTCTCATGGTTTCCTCCCCTTTTCCTTTTTAATCCAGTCTAGGACCCCAGCTCATAGGATGGAGCCACCCACATCCACCATGGGTCTCATGGGATAGAGCCACCCACATCTACCATGTGTCTTCTTTCTTTGGTTCATCCACTCTAGAATCATCTTCACAGACTAAATTGAGCTGTCTGTCTCAGGTTTGTCTTAAGTTTTTCTTAATCTGATTACGTTGACAATTGAGACTTAAAGGAGTGCTCAGTTACCATAGTAAATATAGAGAGCGTAAGAACACCCAAATGGAGGAACAGTGTAGGAAACAAAAGGCCTGAATATATCAAGGTCTGAAAAGATAGAAAAGGGGCGTGGCAAGAGAAGCACTTGCTGTGGAAGTATAAGGACTGGAGTTTGTATCCTAAGACTCTGAATAAAAGCTGAGTGAAGGGACTGGCAAGATGGCTCAATGGTTAAGAGCACGGACTGCTCTTCCAGAGGTTCTGAGTTCATTCTAACCAAATGGTGGCTCATAACCATCTGTAATGGAATCTGATGCCCTCTTCTGGCATGCAGGCGCTCTGGCATTCATATATATAAAATAAATAAACCTTTAGAAAAAAAAAAAAGGCTGGTGAATGTGAGAGTCCGCCTAGAATCCCAGCAGGCAGGAAGCAGAGATGATGTCCCCAGAGCTATCTGGCTAGTTAAAACAGTAAGCTCTGGCTTTCTCAAGACACTCTGCCTCTATATCATGCAGGCATCAACTGACGAAGATATCTGATGTCAACCTTAGGTCTCTGTACACACACATGTACCTCTACTCAGATATATACCCTATATAATGCAAACATTATTTTATCAGTTGGATCTCCTAGGGCTGGAGTTGCAAGTGGTTGTGAGCTACCTGACATGGGTGCTGGGAACCAAACCCAGGTCCTATGTCCCAACAATAAGTGCTAGTAACCACTAAGCCATCACTTTGGCTCCAATCCTGGCTATTTTCTGATTCTTATGTGTAATCAGAGGAGAAACAATGGGGATGTGGAATAAACGTTTTCCCTCTAAACTAAAACAATGTTCATTCCCTCCAGATCTGTGCTGTTCATTTTGTTCCAAAAGCTGACCAACTATAAATAAGATGTCATCACTCAACAGCAAAAAAAGAGCTCAAAGGAGGGGAAACCACAGCCATTGCCTCAGAAGGGCCACAAATAGCTTTTAAATAGCACACTAGATCATAATTACTTCTTTTTATGTTTTTACTGTGTATTCTCTGATGTTGTGGATGGGGAGATGTACGGGGACAGTTTAATGAAGGTTTTATTTATTTTTACAAATGTAAACTTTTCCCTTAAGAAGATGACGACACTGTGGGGTTTATATTCCCTTAAGCCCTGTGGTTTCTACTCCTAAAATGTGTTTTCAATTCTCAGCAAGGGTTCTTGGTTTTTTTTTTTGTTTGTTTTTTTGTTTTGTTTTTTAAAGATGGCTTTAATTAATTCATCCACAAGATTAATGACTAGCAGTATTTACACACATGATAAAGGCCTAAGACTAAATTCTAATGTCTTGCAGATAAGAATCTTGATATATAAAGTACACTATGACCCAAAAAAGAAGTGATCAATGGGCCGTCAGATACTTGCATTATATATTTAGAGGTCTACCAGATGTCTGGGGGATAGCAACAAGAACAGAGGCAGAGGTTACCTGAATTTATTCTCCTGTTTGTTTTACTAGGAGTTGGAGAAGTTTCTGGAATAGTCCCAGGCAAGCTCCCCATCTGCGCTTGTTGGTCCAGATTTTTGGCATTGTCTACGGTGTCCTTGGGCCATGCAGCTTCAGCTTGGGGACTGCAATTCTCTTTGGAAGAAGTTACTCTGCTATCAGCCTGTGAAAAGAGAACAGCTTGATGAGAGTCAATATTTCTTAGGAAAAGAACAATATAGGACTGCTTTGTGAGCATCTACCAGTTAGCATCTGCAGTCCTCTCATTAGTAATCACAACCTGTGGATGTTATGTTATACAGCAAAGTGAGCTAGCAGATGTTCCCAAGATGGTAAGGCTATTGAAAATTTTCACAGGAATACTGGGTGCAATCACAATTGTTCTTATAAGAGACAAGCAGGGAGAGAGAGGGTTATGGTTCGAATACAAAATGTCCTTAAAGGTTCATGTATTGAAGGCTTGGTCCCCAGCTGGTAGCCCTGTTGAGAGGTGACTGAATCACAAGAATGATAATCTGCTCAGTGGAATGACACTTTGATGAATGGTAGCTGAATGGAATTAGGGTGAGGTACATAGTTAAAAACAATAAGAAACTGAGGAATGTATTCTTGTCTTTAGATTCTTGCTTTTTGCTCTCTTTACTTCCAATTTGTAATAAGATGAGCAACTTTCTCAACCAAGCTCTTTGCTGTCATACTTTGCTTCATAGTAATGGAGGCAAATACACATGGATGGAGACCTCTGAAACTTCTAGCAAAAATAATTTCTGCTTAAGTTGCTTATCTCAAACACTTGTCATAGCAACAGAAAACTTACTAACATGGGAAATTATTGATACTACAAATCCCATTAGTGTAACTACTACTGATTGTGTGATTCAGAACCTTATGGACTTGGATTATGGAGAAACTTAAGAAAGTTTGGAGATACAGGCTAGAGAAACCCTAGAATAATGTAAGCTGAGTTCAGTGGGAAATCATGAAGAGACTACAGAAGTCAAGATTATCAATAGAACTGCTGATAGTAAAAATATTCTCATGAGGTTTCAAATGGAAATAAGAACTCTAGTGGGGATTGGACAAGGGGCCATACATTTGAATTCTAGCAAAGGACTCTACATTTTACCTATGCTCTGAGAATTTGTGTAAGGCTAAATTTCAAGTTGACAGACAGACTAATTTTCTAGAGAACATTCTCAGGAAGAATATATTTACATTGTGGCATGGTTATTGCTGGCTCCTTTTAGCCTAATTTACAGTAAAACCTGTTATCAAAAATCAGAGCAAAAGGAATAGAAAAAAAAAACCTAGCCGTATAGACAGAAAAGGACTATGTTTATAGTTGGTAAGGAAATTATCATCAAGTACTTGGCTTTGAGATAATAGAAAAATTACCTAGAGGAAACATCAGAGGTTGGCCTGGTAGCATCCATCTAATGGCTCATTGTAACTCACGGGAAAAGCTTTGCTTTGAGACGAGAGCTCTGGAGAATCTGCCTATACAGGGCTACCTGGAAGGTATTTTTCTGTGTTTAGTCATCCATGTACATAGAGGCATCAGAGGATATTTCCCCCTAGGAACAGTCCTTGGCCTCATTCTCATGATTCTAGTTTTTAAGGCATCTAGAATGCAAGAGTTCTGGGATGATTGAGGCTTCCATCAAGATTACTAAGGAAAGTCTAAGGAATCAGGCAATTGCATGGCAGAGTTTATGTACTTGCAAGTGTGCCCCTGAAAGGGCATAGCAAGAAGTCGTAAGGGTGAAACCTAAGCTGCCATGTCATGAAAAACAGGGACAAGGAACATCTATGAGGACATTTCTGCCAGTGATCACAGCCAACTGGGAAAAGGAATATGAGCTTTGACCAGCAAGGCTGTGGCAGTGGGGTTCACCAAGCCCTTGAGGTCTGCATCTTGCCACCACATGTATCTGAAGCTCAATGTGAAGAAGAAAATTTGCTGTTTGCCACGCTAAGTTCCAGTCTGGTTTGGTCTCTTCCTTCCCATTCCTCTTTTTGGAACAGAAATGTTTGATCTGTATGGTTGCATTTTAGAAGTATATAACTTTATAATATTCTCTTATATTTTTATCATTGCTAGAGATCAGATTTAGAGCCTTGTATGTTAACTATAGGCAAGTGTACTACCATTGAGCCACACTCACAGCTTTTGAAATTTTTGTGTGGACTCATAGCTAAGGGTTTGATGCAAGTCTTAGTCTAACCCATATGAAGTGGTTGCACAGTAGGGCTCAAAGCCACCATTTTCAACCCTACTGTGGACAGCAAGACGAACAAATTCAGTCATCGATCAGGTATGAAACTAGAGATACCACTGCATAAAAAATGAATATTTTTAAAAATGCAGGTTTTGTAGTTTAACATGTAATAAACCCCATTAAAATAACCAGGTACTATAGAAGAGGACCATGGTGTTCAAGTCTGTATTAACTGAGATAGGCTGGAGTCACCAGTTTTCCAGTCAAACTATAATCTCAGCATTGTAGAGAAGGGATTTTGTAGATGTAATTGCACCTACAGCCTAGTGACTTAAAGTAGAAGAGATTCTTTAGACCATCTGGGTAAGTCTCTGCTAATCAGTTGAAAGGCTTCTGGAGTAGACCTGAGGTCTACCGGAGGGAGGAGAACGTGTGCCTGTGGGCTGCAGTTTCCCCTCTAGCCTGCCCCTTCTTGTCTCATCCTATAAGCATTCCTTTGTCATCCATTTATCTTTCTATCCATCAATCCACCCACCTACTCATTCATCCATTCATCCTTCTGGATCTGTTCCTCTGGTAGAATCCTGACTGATACAGAGACTCAACAGAAAATGGTAGACACCACCCCCTGGATAGAAGCATTATCAACATGTTGGTATTATTGTCACCTAAGTGTATTTGCTCATAGAATACTTTAAAAAGGTAAATTAGAACTGTCTAAAAAGCCAATGAAAAGAAGTTCAGAATCATTCAGTTCTTGGGGAACTACAAAATAAAATGTAAAAGTTCCTGCAGAGAGTTAATTACGGAGTAACTTGGAGACATGGAAACTCCACTCCTTAGTTTATGCCCTAGCAAAATGAAAATAGCATTTAGGTAAAAATTTGTGCATGGCGCCTATAATTACTATTCATAATGTTCAAAAAGTGGAAACAACTCAACTCAAATGTCTATCAACTGATGGCTAGGGAAAGAAAATGTATCATAACCATGCAAAAATATTATTTAACAATAACCAGCGATTAATTACAGACATACGTCATAACATAGACATTGAAAAACGTTCTTAAATGAGAGGACCCAGTCACAAAGACTGTTCCTGCTCAGACCAGGTAGACTCAGTCACAGTAGGTAGGCTCATAGACTGTGTAGGGCAAAGGGATTTGGGGGACAGGGTCAGTGAGGGGAAGAGGATTAACTGCTCATAGGCAGTCATTTATTTGGGGAAGGACGTACCAAAAATAGATGACACAAATGGCTGTCACCTGCATATTTTAAGGATGGACTATGTAGTGCATGAATTTTACTACAATTAAACTGTTATTAAAAATAAAATAGGTTAGATTCTTTGTGAAGTCACATATTTGTATGATACATTTTTTTCCCCACACTGACAATATATTAGAGACATTTACCCAGTTTGATGACATTCTATTTAATGGCAAAGAGTAGTTTTTTACGGAAAATGGTGTTAGTTCTTATGTAGTTGACCATGTAACTGCACCATAATTTATTTAGCCCATTCCTGAGACTTCTAATTTTCCAGTATTATCAAACAGGCTAGTTTATATACATATTTGTTAGCAGATTTTGTTACAGTTCCCAGATATATACATTCTAGCTGAGAGCCTATGCATTTTCAGTACTCTATATATTTCTAGAGGGTTCTCCATAAGCACTGCACCAATTCCTAAGTCCCTGCTCCATTGCTTATATAGTCTGCAAGCCACTAATAAAAGACACAGGTCCCTGTGAAACTTTTCATAGTCTCATAGCAAAGGAATGAAAATGTAGTGTGTTTTTCTTCTACCTGTTCACCATCATAGGCATCATCACCAATAATGAGAAATCAGACTCCTGAGAAGCACTGTCTTAGTTGTGGTTACTATTGCCGTGATGAGACACCATGATTGAAACAACTTGGGGAAAAAAGGGTTTATTTGGGTCACACTCCCATATCACTCACTGTTCATCATCAAAGAAAGTCAGGACAGGAACTCAAAAAAGGCAGGGTCCTAGAGTCAGAGCGGATGCAGTGACATGGAGGGGTGCTGCTCACTGGCTTACTCTTCATGGCTTACTTAGCCTGCTTTCTTACAGAACTGAGGACCACCAGCCCAGGGATGGCCTGACCTACAATAGGCTGGGATATCCTCCATCAGTCACTAATTAAGAAAATGCTCTACAGGCTTGTCTATAACCCAGTCTCATGGAGGCATTTTTCAACTGGGATTCCCTCTTTTCAATTGACTATAGCTTGCATACAAGTTGACATAAAAGTAACCAGTACAAGAGCCTATCCATACAACATACTTATACTACACACAATATATAACATGCACACATGTTGAGCCTTATCCTGGGTCTAGAGAAATGGCTTGAGCCTGGCTCAATTTTTACAACCTGTCATGTTCACTTCTGCTATGGAGTGACTCAGCACAGCCCACATGACCTGGCCGAACCCTTGGCTGCCTGGCAACTGCTGATGTAGTAGTAGAATAATCTCATAGGCCCCACCAGATCACCCTATACCCCTCGTCATCTGATTTTTAAAAGCGAGAGACTGATGCAAGTGGTTCTTCTCAGGCTTCTGACACCCACCATCCTGCTCAGCCCTGGAGATACCTGGCAGGTCTGGGCTTCTCTCCTTGCAAAGAGCCTCCCACCCCCCCACACGCATATTATTTGATATGTCTAGCAAAGGAAAATGAGATTGCTCTAGTTTCTTTTCTGTTGTGACAAAACCACACTGAAAAAAGAAAAAAAAAGCAACTTAGGTAAAGAAAGGATCTTGTTTCTACTTCCAGGCTATAGTCCACCACTGGAGGAAATCAAAGCAGGAACTCAAGACAGGAACTTAAAGCAGAAACCATGGAGTAATGTTGCTCATGGATCACTTTCTGGCTTGCTTGAAGGCACATACATAGTTACCTTTCCAATATAG